AGTCAATTGATATAATTTTGGAAATTGACTAAGGGAAGGGGTGAAACTGAGGGAGCAAGTTGAGTGGTTTAAATTTATTTTCATCTATTTAATTTGGCATTTGAGTTCATATATTCACGGAGAGACTCTTGAATGACAATATAATCTACTGACGTATTATGTCAAATATATCGCTAAGGAATTAGTGGAGTAGCAATCTCCTAACATATACATATCGCTGAGGAATCTTAATAGATTAACTTGATGTGCCGAGGAAGAAATTAAGTTGAAATTTATCATTTGGCTGTGGAATATATATATATATATACAAGGACAAGTGAATAACTTTATCCTTGACATTATGATGTTTAATTAAGGAAATTCTCAAGTGAAATATTTATGAATTGTTTTATTACCAAGTAAAATTCTCAGAATCTATAAATGATGATGCAACTAGATTAACACGTTCAGTGCTTTGGCCTTCAATTAAAACACAAGAACATAAGAAGCATCTGCTGCTTAGAAGATCAGGAGGTTAATGCACGAAACAGACCAGTGCATTAAACGATTATATTTACAAGAAGATAATGAAAATGCAATCAATAGAAGAAAAGATATTAAAAAGCTTCAAAAATAACTAAATTAATTAAAGAGGTAGATCATTTCAAGAACCAAAAAAAGAAGGATAATAAAGAGCAGATACATAACCATAGAACCTGGCACTTTGCTGTGGGAACTAAGTAGGGGATATAGATGGTGAAACTTATGCTCCTAGATCTATGAACGTTCTGGTTCTCTCTTTTTTGCACATTGTATGTTCTTCTTTCTTTCTATTAAATAAAAATAAAGTATGTTTTACTTACCAATTTTTTGCAATTAATTAATTATTGCAGTTCTAATCCTACAAAAAGCCAACTAAGATTTCCACTTCGTGATCTCAGACTGCTTGCCTAAAACCCGTGTAAGAGACAAAAGACAATTTGCCAACCTTTCAAAAGCAGGCTACCCAAAAAAGGCAAGTGGGGAATGGATACAAATATTTATTTGAGAACCATAAGCAATTCAATCAAGTTCATTGACAAAAAAAAAAAAGGTTTTGATAGATGGTTTCTTGTTCTAATAAGATCCACTAGCGGTTTTAGAAAGTGATTTTAGTGAGAACATTGATAATATGTAGCAATTAATTATAATTTCACCCAGGATTCGACAAGTTATGTCCTTAATTATAGAAGCTCGTAGTTATTATATTCTCATATATTTTAATTGTTATTAATTAATTAGCAATCAAACTGTATTAATTGAGCATGCTAAAAAATTCTCTTAGTTGTTGTTGTTGAGAATAGATTTATAATTAAGCTTACTGGAATATTATATTTTATATTCATGCATAGAGTTAGAGAGATTTCTACCATATTAATTTACATAAAAATCAAAATTTAAAATAACTTCATGGATGAGGTTAATCAAACGTATATATTTCACCTTCTTAAAAAGTTTAAATCGAAAGTTAGATAAATCTTTCCCTCCCACCTAAGTTCTAATTAAACCAATTTCTTGTAAATATATTATCTTTAGTTTACTCGTATAAATTCATGTTATATATACTCTCGTCACCAACCATCTCCAAACCAATTTCTATGGATTTTAAAATATTTTTTCCTCATAATTTATAAAGGGTAAGACAACGTTAGCAAGAGCTCGTGTAAAAGATGTGGAAGATTTTAGGTTCATGCGTAGTGACATCTCTTTTCATTGACTTGTTTGAATTTCAGCCCTTTGAAAATTGTTCTGCAATTTACACCATATATAAAAAAGACCTCTAATTCATCTTTCAACAAGATATGATAATACTCTATGTAAATAAATAAAAATTGACTAGTTAGTGGGCTATTGTCTTTTCCACTAATTTAGTCTATCCCCCCCCCCCCCCTGGTGGGGGTTGACATGGATCTTGACCCTTGCTGTTGAAACATTCTTTCTGGTCATCATTTCAGTCCCCACCTGGTTCAGACTTGTTTATAATCCTACAATATTTGAAGACAAGGGTTGGGAATTGAATGTTGTTGCTTCAATGGTTGTCCTGTTATGCTTTTCTAATTGGAAAACAATTCTATTATTTCTTTTGTCCACTGGTTGTGTTTTCAACAGGTGTAATTTACTTAATATATAGTAGGGACAAGGGAGATAAGACTTTGCCTTTGCAAGCATCAGTTTTTCTCTCCTTTTCATGGAGATCGTACTATATTAATATTATCATTTCATAATGATTGCTAGCTAAATTCATTATAATAAACACGTTTTATGTTAATTTTTAAGCTGTTTTAAATTAAAATTCATCTATACTACGAGCTATAGAATTAGAAAAAACAAAATTAAGGCTACTATAATTGAATGGCATCATCTAATCAGACTCTAGGCTGGATTGATGATAGGAATGCTCTCCCGATCTTCATTGTATATTAATTTAGCCCGGTGAAAATTAACAAGGGACAAAATAACTTACATTTCTGTTTTCTAATAATCAATTTTCGTGTTACCTTGGTCTCTCAGAGAACTCAGAATTATGTAAATTTAACTTGGCTAAAGTTATATTGGGGTCTTTTTAGTGAGATACGATGAAATTGTGAAAACTTTAGACTAAATTGATGTCATGTTTACGATCTTGGATAGGTTAAGTGACTAAGCTTAACAGTTAGTCTAGTGGGTTGATGAAATGAATTTTACAAGCTTTCCTACAAAACAAGTCTATGTAAGAACAAGAAATCCTCTTATATTTAAGTTAGTAAATTTATGACTAGAAGAATATATAAAGCTTGGAAGTGAGTAACAGAAAAGATGAGCAAGGTAGAAGGTGAGCATGAAGAGGAGCATAGGATTAGCAATGTGGCTTTATGACCTTGCATGATATGTTCTATTACATGTATGGAGTTTTGTTATGAAGATTTATTTTTGAGTTGTGTTGTATTGTGTTATTTATAGACATCAATTATATCAACTTATCTCATAAAAAGTAAAGTAATTATAGAAAACGATCTCGAAATGAGTAGAGAAAAATAAATACAATTGATGAAGAGTTTAACATTTGTAATTAATTGTTGTGTCTTGTTGTGCTATTAGTAAAGGGGTTTGTGTTAACAATGTTTTTTTGAGGTGATATATGCATAAAAAATAATTATTGATAGAAAATAAGGTGTCTCTGCTTCATATAGAAAATTTGATGTGCACTAGTGGATGATGCATAACAATATTCTAACACCTCAAAACTAAAAAAATACACTAAGATGTATGCGTATCTAGTAAAGATACCAAGTCGAGGTTAAGAAAACATGATGGGCAATTCATGGGCTTGGTAAAGAAAAGAATTAGATTGTTTGGGCTAGCTTGACTGGCTAATTTTTTTGTTAGTCTTGATGCACCATCATGATCAGAACATGATAAAAACCCTGAAGAGAAGATTACCATTATTTCCAACTTTCAAAGAGATGTGGCCGAGAGGCTAAGGTTCGATCCAGGCCACCAAGTGCACAGCATGATCTCATATATACATCATAAATATATGTATACAGTTTGTTGTTTTCTTTTATTTTGAATTTTAAATAACAACGCATAAGGCAATGAATTGAGTACGGAGAAGAGAGGAAAGAGAGAGGGGCTATGTTTTGATGGTAACATAAAGGATTTGAAAAATGGATGGACCTACAGTTTTTGGTCCTTCCATTCCATGATTGTTGTTCAAGGCCAACCTCGACTTTCTGTTCATATTACCTTTTATCAAAGAAAGCCCTAGAGAGGCTGATTCTAGTCCCTTGTCCAATGGACCACACCAAGTCTTAACCCCATAAAATTGCAAGATTGGACCCGAAAGGAATGTGCATCCACCAAAATAAATTAAAATGTGGAACCGTAAATGAATTTCAGGTAATATATATATATATATATATATGCGCACATAAAATATTATGCAAAAATTCTCACATAGGAGCATTTCTTTTCCTTTTTTCTTTCGAAATTCTCAGATTATGTTTTTTTTTTTTTCATTTGAAGGTTACAATTCAATCAAAAAAAAAAGTTGTCTTGTAGGCCTATAATTTTTTTCTTTAAAGGAGGGATAAACACTCTTGCTATCAATAACGAGTTTTTGGCCCCAATTACTGTTTACAATGCTAGACTTTCATTTTCTTCTTTTTATTCATTTTCTTTGCTTCTCCTTTTGGTATTTCTACATCGAGAGAGATAAGGAAAAGTTTAGAAGAATCTCAAGAAAAGAAAAGCTTAAAATTTAAAAGCCTAGAAAGTTACGATACCACAAACGAAACGACAAAAAAACAAAAGAAGAAGAAGGCTACGAACCTCATCTTATTTGTTCTCTCTTTAATATGCATACCCTATAATGGAAAGTTTTACATCACCAATTGGTGGTCTTGTCAAATGCATTTCCACTTACGGGCGAATAAATTGATTCAATTTCATATCTAATTTCATAGCTTTATTATCCAATGTGATCTCTAAAGGATTCAAACTTTTAAGGATTCCATAAAAAAGAAAAAAAAAAGATATTATTCATAGATTAGAATCTTTGATTTTTAAATAAAAAAATATTGTGATTATGTCATAGTTATAACCTTTAAATCTTCGATAATCACAATTTGACAACTACATCGATATAGATTATAAAAAAATTAATTTGATTAACAATTCAATCAATTTATTGATTTAGTTCAAGTAAAAACTTATTAACTTTTTTTTAAATTTTTTTTTATCAAATCCGAGCCAAACGGCAAGTTATTTTAAAAAAAAATTTTATCAAATCCGAGCCAAACGGCAAGTTTAATATCTCGGAGAGTGCATTGAAGAAGAAGAAGAAGAAGAGAAGAGAGAGACCAATTGTTGGGCTATAGGTCGAGGATGGGTTGAATGAGCTGGTGGATCCTTTGATGGGCTAGCATTTAAGCAGATACATCCATCAATTTACAATTTTTGCCCCTCCTTCTTACATCAAACTCAAATGTTAGAAGCTCAATTTGTAAATCCAACTCTAAATTACATTGCATCTGTCAAAATCCTAACTAGGCAGCACTCAATTTCGAGGCCTTTTTAGCAGTTGCCTACTGAATGTGGTGCCCAAAAGAAAATGACTTGGATAATGAATTGTGAGTCTCCGAAATTTCACTCCATCTCTCTATTTATTTTCGTTCATGAATAAGAGAAAAAATATTTTAATTTTTACAAAATCATTGTTTAAAATATAATTGTTAAAATGAAGATTTTTTCTCGCTGAAAACAAACGAAAACTATCACAATATAATGAATGATGCATGTTGTGTTCCAAGTAAAACCCAGTTCCTTTCAGACCCTCTCGCAATATAATATATGAGGCCAAATGTAGCAGAGCCCGCAATCATCAATCATAGCACTACGAGGGTTGATGAGTTGTTGATTTTACAGAGCGTATGGACCTTGAACAGTTTTGGTCAATCTTGACGTTTGATTTGAATGGAAGGGCCACATTATGAAATTAAATCGATAAAGGACTGGATTAACCTGTCAGAATATTTAGAGGACGAAAGAGGTCATTGAACCCTTAGAAGATTCCCCTTGCAGCCTTGCCTCGCTAGATCAAACCAGAGCTCCGAACGAAAAAAATTGAAAAAACACCCTTGGCTTTTGTTGCTAGATGAGCAACCATGTTGCTTAAAGATATGATTCTTATTTTGTTTGGTGATTCTGTAATTGGCCAATACTAGCTTCTTGTTTAGCCACTGAAAAATAATCACATTATTGTTTTGTGCAACATTAGAGTTTGATTATGATTATTGTACGTAGATACTGTAATTAAGTAAAGGGCTGCTGAGTCTTTCTTATCTTTTCTTTTTTTCCGAACTCTGGTTATCAGTTCTGGGAAGTATTGGTGATTTGGAGATACCCAGTGATGTTTTGTCGTCAATGAGACAAGCAAGGGCAGTGCCTCGCGAAGTCAAATACCTGAAAGGCAGGCTGTGGATTTGCGTAGACATATGCTCATGAGATGCTCAGAGAGTCACTTCTTTGCTATGTTTTTTTTTTTAACAAAAGCAGAGAAATAGAGGGTGGAGAGGGTGAATTGTTGAAAAACTCGGAGTGAAAATCAATGATCAACCTTTATTACTCGATGTATTTTAATTATTTTTTGGATTTCTGTATTTTCAGTTTTATTACCATGTTTGTAGGTGTTTTGATTTTGAGGGTTGCCTGTGTCTAGGGGACTCCAGATGTTTATTTTCTTAGGTTTAATCGTGCGTCAGCCCGTTTTATCACGCTTGGGTGATAAAATTGCAGGGAGAAGCCCCTCGTGCCATGCCACTTCACAATAAATTATCCGGACAAGGTGAACAGACCTGATACAGAGTACTGAAATAGCTATAGCAATTCAGTCATTGCCAGGGGTCTTGTCTGTCATGGTAGTGCTTGTAGTTTTAGGATATGTAGGGGAGTGGAGTTTAATTAACATGGCTTGGTTAAGGCATTTAGAGTTTCAGTGATGAAGATTCGAGGAAAGGCCAACTTCAAGAACCTTGAAATGTGGATAACTAGTTTATTGTCTGAAATGCCTGGGAGTGAGTTTTCCTGGCACCAGGCTTTGTTTTTTGAGTTCTGCTAAATAAAGCAGGGAAGTGGTAATTTTGTCGCAGCTGCTTCTTAAGAAGTTGCTATCAGAACCATGATATAATCAATCAATATCACATTTCACTTAATCAGCAGCCTCTTTAAACAATTCGGAAGCTTGGAACTAAGCACCATGTTTCTCGAAGAAGCACTTCATTTATGCTCCAAAATCTTGCATTTTTAGATGCTTGGTCAGCAGCCGAGGCACTTCTTAGGTCCTTCCTGAGGCCCTCCCTCCCCACTATAAGCTATTGGTCATCAGTGCATTTTTGCCTGGTCTACCATTTAAGTGACGCTTGCTTTCCCTGTCACAGGTTTATGTGGAGGCCTATACATGCCCCGGTGTTAGGTGCCATACATTTGATCCTTGTTTTGTTGCCCGGTCAAATGCAAATTACATTGCTATCTTCTCTTCAAGCCCCCCTTTTAGGCTGGACAAGTTTTAAAGGTATGAAAGCCATGGTGTCTCTGGGTTCCCCATTAAGTGCAATTTCAGCTTGGATGGTGAGGACCTTGTCTCTGGCTCCTCAGATGGTTCTTTTTACTAGAACACCTATAGGTCATCAGAGCTTGTCAAGAAAATCAAGGCATACGAGCAAGCATGCGTAAATGTTGTTTTCCACCCAGTTTTGCTTCCTGCTGTTGGAATGGGGATGCTTCAATATTTGAGTGAGCATTTTCACGATGGTTGATTCAACAGTTCCCCTGGGAACTTGGAGCAAACAAACAAAAAGGCAAATCCTGTAAGCAATTTTGTACCTTACGCGTGAATAGAAAGGCAAGAGCAATGAATTAAGCTGTAACGAGCCGTGGCTGCTATTCTGGCCTTAATTTGGTCTTGTTCATGCAGCCTTATTACGAGTGTCTTGTTTAAGCCTAAAAAATGGACATGTAGGATGTGAATTGCTCTATGTTCTAGCATTTACGGAGCTTTAGATTTTTGTGTGTGTGTTTGTGTCTGTATATATATATATATATATAAACCCTCTTCTAGAGAATTGATTGTTTTGACCCACAAAATATAGGGTTAAAAGGACCTTCCTTGTCACGATGTTTTCCAAGTGCAGTTGAAGTGATTGAAGTTGTCCAGTTAAAGCTCAAATCCTACTATCTGGAGATCAATAGATGTGCTTATTGTTGGAATTTGTGCTACAAGAAAGCACGCTGTTAGCCATGGTTGCCATCTACAAAATGTTTTCTGAATGTTTTGCCACTTTCAACACTTGCTTTCAAAAAGCCAGGAAGAAGCTCGAGCGGTTTCATCTGAGTGCTGTTTTCGAAAAAGGATTGTTAGTGCGGACAATGACACTCAAGTCGGCATCATCAAGTTGCAGGTTGCATATTGAATGATCGGGGAAAATTCTGTCACCATATGGATTATCAGCCTGTCTATTTATATGATAATGAGAGGCGTGATATGATTTTTCTTTTAACATCTTCATGCAGTTTTGCTTCCAGAGTGGATCTCTACCGGCCCACACACACGCACCCCATTGGGCCTGTCTTGAACCCTAGACTCATTTGGTTTATAATAATATAAAGATGACAACTATCCAGTTCGGAGCCAAAACTGCTCGGCATGACTTGAGGACGATTCAGTGCGGGGTTTTAAATTGAAATTTGAATGCATCTTTGAAGAAGGCAAGATATTACTTGTCATGTCATCTTGGTATTTCAATATTGCTCTTGGTCTTGTCCAGATACCTCTGATCCAAGCCTTCCCGTCTTCCATAAACCAGCTGAGGAGGTGATATGATGTGGGGGTGGGGTGATATTCAAAGCTGTGTTGATGTTCTCCCACCTCTCTTCCACGAGAAAGAGGATGGGGGGGGCCAAAAATTTCTAAAACTAGACATGAATATGCGCTCTCCTTTCCATTCTTCATGGGGGGCAATTTCAGGGGGACAAGACACACCACCTCCCTTTTTAGATGCATTTGCTCATGGGACCAATGATCTCCCAAGCTCCTATCTACTAACACCACCTCATGAACACAGACATAAGCCAAAAGAAAAATATACAAATAAATATCAGAAAAAATGCTTGTATCGATCTCCACGTTCCTTGCACTAACTAGAGAAAGCAGGCATTGAATTCTAAACATGAATGGTCCATGGCGCCTCCCAAGACGACTGTGTATTGGAATATATGATAATATCTAATCCTATTTAGGTGAGGGAACACAGTTAAGAACCTACTTGCCTATGTATATATAAATATATAATTAATTTTTCAACTTCCATATGAATATGTTCCCCACCTTACTTGGTCTCAAGCATCCCCCCTGCCTTCCCTCTCTATCTTCAAAATTAATCTCCTATATCTTTATTAATTTGTCACACCATGTTTTTTCAAAGACAAATCAAATGGGGTAAGAAAGGGAGGCTCAATGTGGGATGATGTTCAATCGATGGTAATGAAGCTCAAAAAAAGAATAAAAAAAGTAAACTAAAAAAATATGGCCCCCTACTCCCATATGGCTGCAATCATAATCCAAAAGAGAGATCTATTTTTCTTCATGTACTTGTTGTCAAGCGAGTGTTCGCCTTGCCAGGACCCACCGGCTAGCCTAACCGGCGACAAGAAACGATGGGCTGAAAGTTTTAACCTAAGCATAAGAAAACTTATATGCATCTAGGATTGGACAAGTAACTCAACATAGTCTAAATGACTATGATGGTGAGCAGCATTACGTTTTTCTTTTTTCTTCACTAGTTAGGCAACAGTAAACAACAATGAAAAGGGATGTGAGACTGGTTAACGATGGAGAATTGTTTGGAATCATAATACCCTAAAAAGCAAAGTAATTTTTATCTTTTGTTAATCTTGAGTTGTCTACCCTTTTCGATCCATCTTGTCTTGTTTTCAACTATAGATTAATGTATATCCTCTCCGAGCTACATGATAGGCCATGATCAAAATGTTTGGGTATCGGCACAAAGCGTAACACATCACCAGCCTTCCAATCCAGGCCCTAAAAAGCGAGCCGACAAACTCATTTTATTGGCATCACCATGTGATTTGTGGCCATTACCAAGTCTCTCCCATTCGGTTGGTTCTTCTTTTATGGCATCAAAGGCGATGAAATTTTAATAAATTTGGCAACGCACCGATCTATCATGATTTTTCTCGACTTCTTTAATTTACCCGTTTTGGAAATATTGCTTTATAAGGCCTTCTATGCAGGCCACTGTAGCCATTCGACAAGTTGCTCGCACGCTTTATTTTCGTTTTTAATCTTTTTCTTTTTTTTTATTGCGTTGTAGTATGCTAGCTAGCTAGATGCACAAACCTAGAGAAAACATGATTATAAGATCTAAAGCTTCAATTAACAAGAATTTACGTATGCTAATCATATCTTAAAAAGCTACGTGAAAGATGTTTACTATATATCACCAGTTCATGCCACCATGGTCTAGAAACTGAGTCCAGCTATATTGCTTTAGAATCTATGTGCCATGTACGTCTCTCATTTTAAAGCAAGATTTCTATTCAGCTTTTACAAAAGGGTTTTTTAGATTTAGTACCCCAACATCTAGACAAATAAGTTTCAGCCCAGCTACTATAGTTTATTTATTTTTGTCCTTTAAAAATATTTTTTATTTTAAATTAAATTTTTATTAGTTTTTTAAATTATTTTAATGTAATAATATTAAAAATAAAATTTAAAAAATAAAAAATTATTATTTTAATATATTTATAGATGAAAAGAAGATTAAAAAATAACCAACATTATTATATATTTCCCATGTAAAGTAAGCTCGTAGGCACCAGCAAGTCAGTGAATAATTACATGTTAGCTCATAATCAACAGAGATAAATTATTATACAATAGGGCACGTGTAGAGACCAAACCGTGTAATTAATTAATTGGTATAGTAATTAAATCTCAGTATTAATACTAATTACTAGATATTATCAGTACTCAATCGTGTATTGCCATTGGTTTAATTTGTCTACGCCAACCAAGTCAAGTAATATTTTTGGTTCAAATAAATTAAATTGATTAGTGTTGTGATGCGAATAAAATTAATTTTTTTAATATAATTTTTATTTTTAAATATTGGTAATATTTTTTTAGAAAACATTTAATCATAAATTTAAAATATCATGCATATTGAATAATATTTTTTATAAATATTAATACGATAACATATTAAATAATATTTTTAAAATATTAAAATGATAACATATTGGATTTCCCTATATTAACTTATAAAATCTACAGTCTAGATCATGAAACTATAATAATTATATAAAGAGTAAGTCAAAATAATTATGAATCTTAATTTCTAATCAATTCAATATTAAAGAATAAAATTAAAAAAATATTAAATTAAAAATAACACAAATAAATTTGGGTTAATCTACCAAACCCACTGGGTTAAAGAAAAGAATTGAAAAAAAAAATGAAATCCAATTCTAACCAATTTAATGTTGAAAGATGAAGTAAGAAAAATCAATTAAAAAATATAAAATAAAAAATAAAAATAACTCAAGTCAACTTGGACTAACTTGTTAAACCTGCTACCTGGAT